AAGTAACCCCAAAGTCATTAAAAACCTATCTAAAGAACATGAGGGAAAAGGCCTTTGTGAACATCAAACTAGCTCAAGCTTGATTAGTAAGGTGATGGCAAATTATATATATATCTTCTCACACAAACACACACACCTGTGGGAACACATTCGAAGTCCTCTGTCAAAATAGCAAAGGAATAGTACAATGACCCTAAGCTCATTACTTGGAAGCGAATTTCACTGAAACACATATTTACTAATATTCACAACAGGTTACCTGCGAGTACATTCTATTAAATCAATAGGGTTAATTTCTCAGTAATGTGTTTCTAGGTACTTGGGGAAATACGAATCCACAGAAATTCCCTTTGCAATGGCTGAGAAACATGCTGTTCTATTCCTGCGTCGAGTTTCACACTTTTCGCACAATGAATGAATATCAAGTAGCAGGTCGGCATATGGGCCTCAGAAATTAAGCACGCATATTGTGAAAATCATTATGATTCATTCATTTTATTAGTCACTTGACACATAAGGAGACTGCAAGCAACTTACGGAGTCATTATTTTTATTTATTAAATTTGTACACTGCCTTTCATCCGTAGGCCTCAGAGTGATTCATAAAGTCAGGCATATATCTTCATATGTGCATGTAGCCATATATCCATATTCCATAAATATGGTGCTTTTGATAGCACTGCTGTGCTGCTTTTTATATTGCCCTGAGACACGAGGCTAGACTATTGTGCTGGGTTGCTCATAAGGCTTCCTTATGAGAAAGTAAGAGGAGGCTGGTGCATCAGGCCAATGGCCCATCTAATCTAACTTCCTGTCAACTCGATGTCTGTGAGAAACCTGCAACCAGCACCCGAGTAACAGGAGTACTCTCCCCTCCTGTGGTTTCCAGCAACTGCTATTCAGAAGCATTACTGACTGGGACTGTAGAGTTCAGAGCTCAGTGATCATGGCTAGTAGCCATGATCCTCCAATTCTCTTCCAAAGCCATCCAGTTTGGTGGATCCTCACTGCCTTCTGTGGGACTGGGAGTGAGTTCCATAGTTTAACTATGAGCTGCATAGTTAAGAGGAGAAAACATTGCTGCACCACTAGGGCACACCCGTGAAGGAGGGCTCAATGAGACCACCTTGCACAGGGGCCCCCTAAAGTCCGAAACTGGCACTGATATCAATGCCTCCTTACAGTCGAAGCGGGGATTCAAATCTGGGTTAGATCCAATGAGCCAAATCTGTGTTAGGGTGCTTCCAGGTGACCTGCTTATTAAGCATTCATCCAAAGTCCTTTACAGGGAGAGTAGACGACACTGGCTACTTAATAAGCATTCTTTGTCAGTCCAATCACCAATCCCCCTCTTCTTAGGTGGCCTGTGCAAGTGCAAGTGGGACAGTTCAGTTATTAAAATGTCGATAAATTCCTCAAACCGAGTGACTCCAACAACAGGGGAAAGATCACCTTTCTCTGCCGAGAACAAATGGATCACATGGTCGGAATTCATCAAGCTTTGGAAAAGAGACAGAGTGTGCTCATTGACTCGTATCCTTGAGTGCTGGGGTCTCGGTTCCTGGGGGAATGGATTAATTAACTGTACTGTCTTTCTCGGTGGAAAGACAAGTTTGCAATGTAGAGGGAAATGGTCACTAAGCATAGGATCACATATGTAGAACTCAACCAGTAGGGCATCATTTTAGTGGGTATCAGAATATAGTCCACCACATTATTTCCCTGCATGGAGATATATGTAAAATTCCCAGAGCCTTTCCAATTGGTTAGCCCATTGAGTCACGTCAGGGCCCTGGTGAAGATCAGCTTAGTGAGTCTCAGACCCGCCAGATTAATTACTGGGGAATGATCAGTAGCTCGCCAAGTTAGTCACTAAATATCTCTATTTGGTTTTTTGTCGTCGAAATACACTGCAGACGTCTGATCTCCTTGGAGACCAAGAGATGTGACGATAGACTGCTCTGCCTCCTTTCTTTTAGCAAATGTTTTGTGCCACTGGGGAAGTGGTAATTCTGTATTGATTTGTTTTGGATGTATGTATGTGATGCCAATAAAAGGTTTGATGATGATGATGATAAGCATTCACTTTGATTTGTCTGTGGGGAAGCAAGATGTTGTTATATCAAAACCACTGCTATCCTACTGGATTTCTCCAACACCTATTGCAAAATGAGCTTTGGGGGAAGTGGGTTTGTTGCACAAACAGCAGCCTGTGCAGCCTGAATTTGATGGTATGTGGCTGAATCGCACCCATATGTAGTGACAGCCTGGAAGCGCCCTTAGATCTAACTACAGAACTGGTATGGTTAATGCACCAATAACATGAGAAACATTGAGATCATGTGAGAGGAGTCAACAAGAAATCCCATGCCAGCATTGACCAGCGCCTAAGAAGGACAATGGCTGTGCAGGAAATAACTAAGTACCGTATTTTTCACTCTATAAGACGCACCAGACCACAAGACGCACCTAGTTTTTGGAGGAGGAAAACAAGAAAAAAATATTCTGAATCTCAGAAGCCAGAACAGCAAGAGGGATCGCTGCGCAGTGAAAGCAGCAATCCCTCTTGCTGTTCTGGCTTCTGGGATAGCTGCGCAGCCTGCATTCGCTCCATAAGACGCACACACATTCCCCCTCACTTTTTAGGAGGGAAAAAGTGAGTCTTATAGAGCAAAAAATACGGTACTTGTCTCTTCTTCCTTGATTTCAACACTATTTTGTTGCTAGAATAGGGAAGGATACAGCTGCAGCTTCCCCAATGCAGTCATGTAAGAAGTGTCCCTTAACAGCTGCAGTGATGAATCTAGACAAATGAGGAAGAAACACAGGGGTTATAATTAATTCTGTGCATTTTATAGCACACGCGACAGAAACCCTCCGCCGACAGAAGAATCAAGGCAGTTCTGAACAAGAGAGTTTCACACTCCATCTCCAGTTGTTTTTAAATATGTGGTTGACTTTCAGATTATCTGGATTTGCTGCCTTTGGAATCCTCCCCCTGCCCTAGCAATTGGCTTGTAGAACCTAGTGCAGTCATTTGCTGTTTCCTCTGGGTAAATACAAAAGAGGGAACGGGGGCCCCTTCCTCCTCTAGAAGGACACGTGAGCATGCCAGAGCTCTTGGGGGAATAAGAAAGGGAAGAAGGAGTTGTGCACGACGGTCCTTCATGCACAAGGCATGCTGGCTGGTGACATACGTCAGTCTCTGAGCCAAGAAGCCTATACGCTGCGGTTCACATCAAGTGCCATCTAGGGGCACATGCACCGTGCTGCTATTTAGAGCTGTAACAAAGTGTGCTCCTTTACCCTGGCCTAATGAAAAGAGCCACAGGCTGGCTGGCAGAATTCCTACAGCAGACAAACTAAGAAGCACACTCCCTCTTTTTCCCCCTATGGTGCTGGCTCAGGAAGATGTCACCTTCTTTTTAACCTTGTCTCATTAACTAGAGTCCTTTAGTCAAGAGCTTGGCTGGTAATTTCAGAGAAAAACAAACATTTTCCTCTTCAGCTTAGGGCTGATTTATTGAGGAAATGGGTCACAGTTGTTGTTATTGTTGTTTTTTCATGTAAACTTGTCTTCCATGTAAACTTCCTTAGGGAAGGGATGCAGCTCAGTGGTAGAGCATCTGTTTGCAAGGTACAACCCCCCAGATTTCAATATTACAGTGCTGACAAACAGTGGCCTGGCTGGGTATGCTAACAGTGCGCTGATGTTACATGCAAATGGGGCAACATGCAAATAGAATGCACTGAAACGTGACTCAGAGACCAAATGCTGTCAAAGAAGATGTCAAATATCAAATCCTATCAAATGTTGAGTGAAGGTTAATGCCTATTTAGCAGATGTTCTGTTCAACAGTATATATTGATATGGGTTTGTGTGGGGGAAGATTTCCTTAAATTCCTGGGTAACAGATTCTCCCCATAATTCCTGGATGTAGTGAAAGTTAGGATTAATTGAGGTTGGATTAAATGTTGCCACACACTGAAACCCTTTGGATTTTAATAAAAATAAAAATAAAAATAAAAATTTAAAAATTGTCCAGTAGCACCTTAGAGACCAACTAACTTTGATCTGGGTATAAGCTTTTGTGTGCATGCACACTTCTTCAGATACACTGAAACAGAAGTCACCAGACCCTTCTATATAGCGGGAGGGTGGGGTGGGGTTTTTCTCAGAAGGGTGGTGGGTGATGTGTGATTGACTCAATGGATATGGTAAACCTGTTGACGACTGTTAATGACTGTGATTAGTCCTACAGAAAAAAGCAAGGGATAGTATGCAGATGACCAAAAATAGGTTTAGCATATGTAATGAGACAAGAATCCAATATCTGTATTCAGACCAGGTCTCTCCATAGTTTTCAGTTTAGTAATAAGTTGTAATTCAGCAACTTCTCTTTCAAGTGTGCATGCACACGAAAGCTTATAGCCAGAACAAACTTAGTTGGTCTCTAAGGTGCTACTGGACATTTATTTATTTCAATTTCGTCAGACCAACATGGCTATCTACCTGAATCTAGAACCTTTGGATTTAGTTATGCTAAGGAGCCAAGCCAGCTTGGCAGAGCTCAATGGATGGGCCATTAGCAGGGGACAAAGGCTGGCGATGGACTAGCAAGAGAACCATCAGAGGGCAAGACTGTCAGGCAAGGGGGGAGTGGGGCTCCTTCTTTACTGGGTGCCAGTGAGCAAAGGCAAAGGCCAGATTTAGGGTTTCATCTTTGAATAACATAGGCGGTGTGTGTGTGTGACATCCTTGGGTCCTTTAGCAGGGAGAAGAACGCGGACAGAACTCCAAGTGAACTGGGAATGACAGGCTGGAACCAAGAGACATAGAGGATGGCTTCTTGCTGTCCTTTGAATCCAACGCTGGCCCTATGGGAGAACGATGTGAATGCTCTGCAATCCCTCCATCTAGGTGCAGGTTGTATATATATATGTGTGTGTAAATAAAACCACATATCATAAAGACACTAGCGTCTCTGCTGTGCCTAATAGCTGGATAGCTCCGTTGGTTAGAGCATGGTGCTGATAATGCCTGGGTTGCAAGTTCAATCCCTGTTTGGGAGAGCTGCATATTCCTTCATTGCAGTGGGTTGGGCTAGAGCAGTGATGGCCAAACTTGGCCCTCCAGCTGTTTTGGGACTACAATTCCCACCATCCCTGACCACTGGCCCTGTTAGCTTGGGTTGATGGGAGTTGTAGTCCCAAAACAGCTGGAGGGCCAAGTTTGGCCATCATTGGGCTCTACAATTCTATCATTCTAATTTCTGAAGCAAACAGGAACCCTGGGTAAGCACATGGAACACCTAGAATTTCACGCCACTCAGAGATGGGGTGGTGGGTAAGAATATTGTTTGGTATCTAAAGTAATGTGGGACCATACTGAGTACTGCAGTATAGATAACCCTCATTCGTTAGTGATCCACAGCAGCTAATAACACAAAGTGCTTCACATTTAGTCTCAGATTGCTCTAACCACCTGTATTTTATGTTCTATGTACAATGCTAAAAATCATTGGATTGAATTAGATGAAATGCCCATTGAAACCAATGGGAAAGTTAGTCATGGCTTAAGTTCCAATGCTTTTGATGGGAATTAAGTCCATCTAATTCAGTTTGGATCCAGCCCACTATATTTACATATTTGTTAAGCTGATATTTGGTGCAAGTGGGTAGTCTGATGGTATTTAAAATGAGTACTGGTTTAATATACACAAAAAGTTTTCTGCAGTATCTAGAACAATATCATTCTTATCAATGTATAATGAGATATGTCAAAATTTTGCTTTAAGTGGATGTTACTCTGGAAAAAGCCAGTATAGTTCATTTGGTGCCATAAAGCATGTGAATCTACACGGTAAAATAAGCATGATCTGAAAAATACAGTGGAAAAGGAAAGGAAAAAAAGAAAGAGAAAATTGCTGGACTACAAGAAAAGGACAAACAGCCAGGTGGGATAGCTAAATTTTAACAAATTCAAAAACACCAAGTTATGCAAAAACTTAAGAATCAATGAGAAACTCTTTATGACTACAAATTTGAAAAGCAGGAAACCAATAAACCACTCTAAAATAAATATACACAAATTGCTGTAAGATTTGTATCACCATTAGTGGCCCTCTCAAGCAAATCAATAAAAGCAACTTCCTTCATAATACATATTCATGTATAACTAAGAACTATATGCCTTTTGACCAGTCCGTGGTATTGCAATTTTAATAGTCTTGATTTCTGCTCAAAACATGACATCTTAAACAATAACTTGCCGTATATTGTGGGTCCTTAACAATTCATGGTTGCCTCTACAGCTGTACTCAATATAATATGTTTAGCAGGGGCAAATCACACCAAAGCTTGAAGGCCTTTAAAGATAGGTAGGTAGAGGCAGTGCTTTTTTCCTTCTTCTAAAAAAATGTTTAGGGGTACTCTCATTTTCCCACTCATATTGAAATGAGGCCAAACCTAGATTCACAAAATGTTTAGAGGTATGCGTCCCCCTCTGTCCCCCCAGAAAAAAGCACCGGGTGGATGCCAAATCTACGTACCTCCTCTACAAAAAGACACCACAAACATAAATCCATAAATTCAAGTTGTTCTCTCAGTCTGCCCCATGCAGATACAAAGTCCCATTTTCCCCCTGTATATCCACTAGTCAAAATGAATGTGACACGCTTGATGGCATGAGTTATAATGATGCCAAGGGGGATTTCATTAACAAGCCATGACAATATTAGAATGTGCCAAAACAGGGCAGACTCTCAGCAAATGCCATAGGTCAGGTGGGGAGCCCCTAGCCCATGAACCTAATTAGGCCCACAAGACCTCTCTATTTGGCTCACAAGGGCATTTTGGTCAAGCTTTGCCCACCTGTCCTACACATAACATCAGGTATGGGGCAGGCCTTGGCCAAAAATATGCTTGCAGGCACTGCCAATCAGCCTACAGCACCCCTTTCAACATTGCTGTGGGAGGGGCTTCTGAAGATGTCTGGCTAGAAAAAATCCCTACATTTGTACAACAGATTTCCAGAAGGCACAGATCTCACTGGACTGCTATGCATCTAGTGAGACACGGAAGAGCTGGTGGAATGTGTTATACAGTGGTACCTTGGGTTACATACGCTTCAGGTTACATATGCTTCAGGTTACAGGCTCCGCTAACCCAGAAATAGTACCCCGGGTTAAGAACTTTGCTTCAGGATGAGAACAGAAATCGTGCTCTGGTGGCGCGGCGGCAGCAGGAGGCCCCATTAGCTAAAGTGGTGCTTCAGGTTAAGAATAGTTTCAGGTTAACAACGGACCTCTGGAACGAATTAAGTACTTAACCTGAGGTACCACTGTATTTGAAAAAGTGTAGGAAAGCCAGTGTGATGTAGTGGTTAAGAGCAATAGACTCATGATCTGGGGAACAGGGTTCGCGTCTCTGCTCCTCCACGTGCAGCTGCTGGGTGACCTTGGGCTAGTCACACTTCTCTGAAGTCTCTCAGCCTCACTCACCTCACAGAGTGTTTGTTGTGGGGGAGGAGGGGAAAGGAGAATGTTAGCCACTTTGAGACTCCTTCGGGTAGTGATAAAGCGGGATATCAAATCCAAACTCCTCCTCCTCCTCCTCTTCTTCTTCAATTGCCCCCTTGGATGCGGGGGGATATTTAGATTTTTTGCTCTGCCCACTTTTGCTTCTGGCCCCACCCACCACAAATAAGTGGCCCCTGGAAAGTTGCTCTGAAGGGAATATGGCCCTCCAGCTGAAAAATGTTTCCCAACCCTGCTTGACAGGTCTAAGGACACTTTTACCCTCAAAGGATAAATTGCCCTTTTCTATAAGCTTGCCTGAGCACATCATAGCTCTTTTGTCTCTAGCAGCCCTAGTTTACAAAAGTGCTGGTTTCCACAAATGCCATTCTCCGAATCTTGTGATGCAGTTTTTTCAACCCAAAAATTGTACTGAAATGCAAATATGGGGGTGGGGGGTGGGCTGTGCATAAAATTTATCTATTAGTAAACTACCATCAAAAATGTGTTATAATTAGGAGAAATCATTATTCAGCTAGATTGCACATAAAAATGTGTATATTAGGAAAAAGCTGGCCTAAAATGCTGACAATTTTTTGTGTGTGATTGCTTTTTATTTGTTATTTGTTTATTGCATTTATATCCCACCATTTTCTCCATGAAGCTCAAGGTGGCATAATTACAGACTGATGTGCAGATGTGGTGAACTGAAGCCTGAAAAACAAGAAACTGAGAGAAACCACAAATGAGAGATTTGTCCGTGCCTGTTTCTGAGTAAACATGTCTAGGGTTGCACTGTTGGGTTTTTAAAATAAATTGCACAGGCCTAAATTTAATGGTCTCAATATTTTCAGAGAGAGAGAGAGAGAGAAGGAAAGAAGGAAGTAGCCATATTTTACAGACCTGGATCTGCTAGTGGGAACCTTAGTCTGATGTGCATTTAAACAAGGTCTTTGTTCACAAGGCTCCAGCCACATTGCAGTGATTGCTGCATTGTTCAGAACGGTCTAGGGAACAATGCTTTCAGTGTGATGTGTGAATGTTTCTTTTCCACCAGGGTGGCGCTTTTTGCAGTCATCTCAAAGGAATGTAGATATCAAGTAACTCAGGGTTTCTAGTTGCAATTGGTAAAACAACTGTAGTGGAAAAGTACCCGGTTGCTCACTTTTGTATCTAGGCAAACAACACTGAGGTAAAGGATGCAACCGACGCCTTGTGTCTCTCCATGGAAGCGCAGATCCTTAAATTATTTCTAACCTGCACTTTCTGTCTTGAAAAAGATACTCAAGGTGGCAGACATCAGAGAGAAGTACCACAAAACAGACAGCAGTGAAATGGAAGGATAAGAGCATTGAAAGTAGAAATAGAAATGTAAAAATAGGGTCAGTAGGCAAAAAAACCTAATAGTTTGGTGAAAATTGGCTGCTTGTGCACCACACTTTTAAAGCACAAGACTTCACCCAAGGACTCCCAAGAACGATAGTTTCTCTCCTCACAGAGCTATCATTCCCAGCACCCTTAACAAACTACAGTTCCCAGGATTCTCTGGGGGAAGTCAAGAGCTTTAAATGTATGGTGTGTACACAGAACATCAACAGCTTTATTGCTTGTGTCATCTGGATGTATAAAATCCTTAATGTACTCTTTGTTCCATAGGCACATTCAATGTTGTGCATCTCAGGACCTCCTGACTTCTGTTTATGGCATGCCATAATATGGATGATTGATTGAGGGATTAGGGTGATGTTCAGGGCCATCTCCTCCAATAATTCAATGATATAACAGCTCCATTTGCCTCCACTGCACTATTGGCTAATCTGTTTGTTAAAGTTCTGGTTTTAATTGATTTACTTTCCTGTCTGTGATATTTGCCTGGCCAAGGTAAACAGAAGGTTGCTAATCCAGAGTTAATGGTTACCGGATGAATAAAGTCTAGATGGAGATGAGAGTTTTCCAGAGTTGCTACATGCACCAAAGTATGATGACACCGGTGCTGACATCAGCTAGCACATTTTGAAGAAGGACTTTTATCTGACCATATTGCGTATATTTGATCTGGCAGAGATCAAAGAAAAAGATCCTCTTTAGGATCATGGAAATGAAACTGGAGGTGTTTGAGTCCCAGGGGATTGGGGCTGAGAAAGCAAGAGAAGACACATAATATCTTAGTGTACAGTTTCATGTGTTTCTAAGTAACTTGCATGTGCATGCCCTCTATTTTGTTGTTGTTGTTTAGTCGTTTAGTTGTGTCCGACTCTTCGTGACCCCATGGACCAGAGCATGCCAGGCACTCCTGTCTTCCACTGCCTCCCGCAGTTTTGTCAAACTCCTGCTGCTAGCTTCGAGAACACTGTCCCACCATCTTGTCCTCTGTCGTCCCCTTCTCCTTGTGCCCTCCATCTTTCCCAACATCAGGGTCTTTTCCAGGGAGTCTTCTCTTCTCATGAGGTGGCCAAAGTATTGGAGCCTCAGCTTCAGGATCTGTCCTTCCAGTGAGCACTCAGGGCTGATTTCCTTAAGAATGGATAGGTTTGATCTTCTTGCAGTCCATGGGACTCTCAA